GTTGTTGCTGCTGTTTTTTTCCTGGCAAATAGCACGCAAGAAATGGCACTTTGCAATCCAGACATTTACCCAGTGACTGCCAACTGGTACAATGAAGTATGAGTTATAACAGTAAAAGGTATTCAGTTAATTTGTGGTACCTGGCTCAGGGAGCACAACAGTGGGAAGGAAAAGGAAATAAGCTTTTCAAGATACCACATTTAGAAGCTTGGCCAGTCCTACTGGGTATGTTTCTAGTCTACCAGGAATGCTATTGTCTTCAAACTCTTGAACACTACAAGTCCTCTCTATTACCACTTCCTCGCCGAAGATGTTACAAATAGTTTCACTCCTGCAACTATCTCTGTGTACTTCCTATCCTTCAATGTCTTTTCTGTCTCTGTGCCACAGTCCCAATACTCTATTGTATTAGCTGCTGAGCCTCCATAGAATCACCCCAGTCTTTCATTCCCTGGTAAATTATTTCCAAATTACCTTCTCAGCTCTAATGTGATGAAATATTTGTTTAGGCATGACTATACATTCTTAAAACTCAGAATTTGTCTTTGTCTCAAGTTTGCTATTACCTTCAGAGCCAAACTGCTTACTTCTATTCATTTGAACCTCTCAGTGAAAACTTTTGGCCCTATAGCTCGTCAATGTCATTTAATTTAATCACATCTTCCAATTATCTCTAATATGCTATTTATGTATTTGGGGAATACATAAGTGTTCCACTTGCTTTTTAGTTATTTGTTACTTTTTTCCTAATGATTGACAATACTAGATTTGCCATTGTCTTTAACCATTCAGGATACAACTTTTCAACAACTATAATTTTGCCATAAATCAATCTCTCGTGTTGGAAATTTTACATATTTCACTATGATAATATTAAATATATACAGTTTTATTTTTCTAAAGCCAAAAAATTAGAAATATGCGTAAAACAATATTTAGAAATGTAGAGACAGTGTCAATTTCTGGAATAAAATATCCTAGATCAACAGTCAATATATAGTAATCTGTTAGGATTAGCTAGAAATCCATATTGTACCTTTAACCCATGACATGAACTAATGTAGGTTGAATAATTTGACTTACGTAAAAGAGGAAGCAATATTGGTCTTCGCTTGCTGTTTTCATTTGTCTGTTTTAATTTTTTTAAATTACCAACACTTTTTATGTTTATTCTAGAAAAAACAAAATAGAAAAAGACAAACATTTTTTTAACACATAACTATCAACCAGAAAAAATTAAAATGACTTTCAGCACACTGATCACAATATATCCTTTCATATTTTTGGCTACATTCATTTGTATTTTTCTCCTAAAAACATAATGTTTCTGAACACATAATTTTATTTTTCTTTATATTCTCTTCATTGTCCTTTTGTGCAGATAACTGCTACATCATCTCATGGATCTAGTCTTCTCAAATTACTTAGTTTAGCACAAAATATTTCTTTCATTTTATACAACTATTTTTAGATTTCAGTCACTGGAAAACCTCTGGGATTTGAATTTGCCTGTGTCCCCAAGTAGTAAGGTAACTTCATATTTGATACATATGTTACACAAAGCTGAGTTACAAATATCTGCTTCTGCCTCCCCACACCCACCAAGAATATATTTTATGTCCATAAACATTTATATATAACAGCATTTTCAAAAGTACATTCTCTTTTATTGATAAACATAATTTATTTAAACACCCACTATTGTTGGACATTTGTGGGTTTTTCCCCTGTGTTTTTATTTTGTTTTGTTTTTGCTATTATAATCAGTTGTGCAATAAATATCATTATAGCTAAATCTGTACACATTGCTAAGTTTTTCCTTATGATAAATTCTAAAGTAGAATTGCTAGGTTAAAGAGTTGCCTTTTTATTTTTTAAAGCTTTTGGCATATATTGCCAAGTTGCTCTTTAGAAACCTGTCACTGAGACCCCTACTAGAAGTATTGAAATATACTGTATTTCTAAACCTTATACAATTTCTCTTTTAAAGTAATTGCTAATGTAATGAGTCTTTTCCTAACCACATTGACATTTAAAAATATTGGCCATAATTACAAATTCTTTACAACAAAGTATTTCATAAATCAAGAGTCTCAAAACTTTAAAAATTTTGGTAGCTTGTTTCCTTGCAACATTTTTTGCTTATAGTTTTAGATGATGTCCAGTAAAGAAATAAAAGAAACCCTATCTGCAATCTTTCTCTCATCAAAACGCACCACTCTAGTGCTACTATTCATAAACTCATTCCTGGTGATCTCTAAGATTCAAGGAAATAAAAAGAGTGTCCATCTTATAAAACTCTTAATAACCCCTTTTGGGCCAGGTTTGGTGGCTCACACCTGTCATCCCAGCACTTTGGGAGGCCCAGAAGAGAGGATCACTTGAATCCAGGAGTTGAGACCAGCCCAGGCAACACAATGAGACTCTGTCTCTCCAAAAAAAAAAAAAAAAAAGAAAAGAAAAAAATGTAGCCAGGTGTGCTGGCATGCACTGTGGTCCTAGCTACTTAGGAAACTAAAGTAGGAAAATCACTTGAGCCCAGGGGTTTGAGGTAACAGTGAGCTATAGTTATGCCACTGTGCCCTAGCCTGGGTGACAGAACAAGACACTGTCTCTAAAAACCAAATGAATAAAAATAAATAACTCCTTTTGTAAATAATACATTATTAAAGCTGTTAGGTTGAAGAGAAGTGTACCTGTTTCAAACCCAAAATATTATTTGTCTACAAAATGATGTATCATTTCTAGTTAGTATTTTATTATAGTATCTTGTTTGATTTTGGTCAAGTTCTTTATGGCCTTGATGTTCAAACATAAAAATTAAAATGCAAGAATCACAAGATACAATTTTGTGAGAGTATCTTCGACTTCCTTGGTAATTAGTAGATTCAGTGGTTTTTTAGAAAAGTATATGTTTTGAATGAAATTTTTTTTTTCTTTTTTCTGAGGCAAGATCTCACTCTGTCTTCCAGGCTGGAATGCAGTGGCACGATCTCGGCTCACTGCAACCCCAACCTTTCGGGCTCAGGTGATCCTCCCACCTGTGCCTCCCAAGTAGCTGGGACTACAGGTGTTTTTTGTAGAGGTGGGGGTTTCACATGTTACCCAGGCTGGTATCAAACTCCTGGTCTTAAGCAGTCGTCTTCCCTCAGCCTCCCTAAGTGCTAGGATTACAGGCGTGAGCTGTTGTGCCTGCCCAAAAATTGCTATATAACAGAAACACTAGGTTATTCTGACTATGGAACATAAGTTGTATTTAAAGCCTTAGTTTCTATTAAACTTTGGCCCTTTTAAGCTATAACAAGCCTTTTCTTTTTACTTTTTATCAAAATCAAACAAGCTTGAAAATTATAAGTTCAGGATATTATAGAAACATATGCTGTTTCTCTCTCTCTCTCTCTCTCTCTGTGTGTGTGTGTGTGTGTGTGTGTGTGTGTGTGTGTGTGTCTCTCTGTCTCTATCTCTATCTCTCTCTCTCTATCTCTATCCATCTCTCTCTGTCTATCTCTATCTCTCTCTGTCTCTCTAGCCTCTCTTTCTAGCTTCTCTCTTTTCCCCTCACCTTTTCTCTCTCTCTCTCTGTCTCTCTCTCTCTCACACACACACACACAAACACACACACACACACACACTTTCTCTCTCCCTGTCTCTCTCTCTGTTTTGTTTCTGCCTATGTATGCCTCATTTTTTCTTAAAATGGATGTGAGGGATATAATAGTATACATCACTATATATTTTTTTTTTCAATTTCACACTGGGTCTTTTCCTTCTTAAATACTTGGAGAAGATAGTTCATAGGTTAATAAAATTGATACGTGGTCCTAGCCTTTAACCAGCTTTTACTCTAGGATAGAAAACACATTCTTTTTTTCCTGAAAGACCAAGATACTGAATTAGATATAAGAGTGCACCTCAATAGGTTAGTTTTCTAATTCTCATCCTTTAAATAATGTTTAAAGATATGTTTCTTTATTTTTATTCTTTTTTATTACTTTATCTGTTAAACATTCATTATCAGAACCAAAATAAAGCAGCAACTATGATTTTCTAATACTGAAACAAAACTTGACATGTAAATAAGTCTTTTCATTCCTGCAGAACAGACTGCTTGCCTTATATTCCTTTTGGGTGTATGGTGCCTAGCTGGATAGCCTGATTCCAGAATCTTCACTTTCTAATCTACCTGCTACCACGCCCCAGAAATCATGGAAAAATCCAGAGTAATTTCTTTAATTACTCCCAGTTGCAGTATTAGTCTTGTAGTAGGTGATTAATCAGCTCACATGCCTCAGTGATTCATTGATTACTTTCTGGTACACTGTCTAGAAAATTGATAATGATTTTTCTTTCTTTCAAAAGAATGCAAGAAGGAAATCTTTCTTCTTTATTTTTGTAATATAGATTTGTATCAGTAATGATTAAATTAAGTAAAGTGAAATAAAGTATTTTTAATTCAAAGCTAATGAAAATGGCAAGCCTTTTGAGAAAATTTAACCATTATTAGATAAACCTTATGAAAAAACTTACAGGGCCACTCTTGGATACTATATTATTGGCCTTTATTTATTTTTTGGTAAAATTTTCCCGCTTGTCTAATTTCTTTTTGAAAGCAACAATAAAGTAAATAAGAATGTTTTTATAAACTTCTCCCTTATGTTGTATGGCTCCCTAAAAGCATATTTCCACTTACACGATGGCATAGTCTCTTAAATGAACCCACTGATTTTTCATGAATTTTTTTTCCTGTGACCTTATGAATTTGTACCTTGTCTTTGACAGCAGAAATAAAATTGTAAGTCTGATTTTGCGTATTTGCTCTAAGGTTGGCCCAGAGTAGCAAAGCACAATCAAGACCATGGTATTTGAAAGTTTTCAAATCCTAAAAATGTGTTCCATAGATAATATAATTTAATTATACTCCAAATGTTTCATCTAAAATGCATTTTCTGTCTTTTGCTTTTTACCCTTGTCCTTACTTTTAATGATCCGTCGGCTGACAGTGTCTTTACATCCAAAATGCAAAGCAGACAAATGGGCATATCAGGGAAGAACATGACAAAAAGCACCAGCATCAGTGGAGACATGTGCTCGCTGGAGAAGAATGATGGCAGCCAGTCTGACACTGCAGTGGGCGCCTTGGGCACCAGCAGCAAAAAGCGGCGTTCTAGCATTGGGGCCAAAATGGTAGCTATTGTTGGTCTCTCACGGAAAAGTCGCAGCGCTTCTCAGCTCAGCCAAACGGGTAGGAATTTTAATGTTACTTTTAACTTCATGTTTGAGTTGTCATTACAAGATATTTTTCTTTTCTCTTACTCATTTTATTGCAGTAATATGTGGATGGTGACATGTTCCAGAGGGAAAGGGCATTTTAAACTAGTTAACCTTTCTGAAATCAACAATGATGTTTTTTCCAGTGATCAATGAGCCTGCTTCAAAGTGAACCTTGACTACTGTTCTTAAACTATAGATAATGTCTTTCCTCCTCAGGGAGGAGTTACGCTGTGACACCCAATTGCCAGTTGCTGATCCTTTGCAAAGATACTCTGAAATGTGGGATATTTGCTTTTCTTTAGGTTCCTCAAGTTGGAACCAGCTACATTAATTTCCATTCCCAGCAAGTTACTGTGAAGATGAGTCTTCATATTTTATGTGAATAATACAGTTCTCATATTGCTGACAACCCAACTTCCTTTTCAGTTTGTAAGCCACATTTACCAGTAGTTATCAGTTTTCTCACTGCAATTTTTATTTCCATGTTAAAACTTCAAACAGCAATATTCTCCAGCAGCAGGGATGGAGGAATTTTCTGCTGACAGGGAAGATATTCAAAGCTTTGCTACTTTAAAATTCAGTTGCTAAATCACATCTGCAAAAATAAATTATATACAACACTCCTACTGAGAAAAGCCACTGTTAGCAATTAAGAAATTTGTGAATCAAAGCAATGTCTTTTTTCAAATGGGTGTTGACAATTAAACATTAAATCCTTGGTATCTTGGAAATAATAGCATATCTTCTACTTAACAAACAAAAGCATGTAATATGGTGTTTCTTTTATAGCAAAATAAATTATAGGCAGCTGGATTAAATCTAATTTAAGTTTGACTACTAGGGTTTTGTACATAGAATTCAGATATAAATCTACAGCACAAAATAATTTAAGGTTACATTAATTCCTGGACCCGGCTAATCTTGATTTTTATAAATTGTAACTGTCCTTCTGGGAATTTAGTCTTATTTAATAATGTTATATTGAAATAATTCTCTGATATTTTTTATATTCTGGTTGTAAAGATATTTAACCTGATTTCTGCTATAGAATTTTTCATTTGGTGTTTTAAAATATTATTTTGCATTTTAATGTATAAATGAAGTTTAATTCATGGACCAGTGGACATACAGGTTATATTTTAATGATTTTCAAAATTGTTAATATGTATACATAATTAACTATGCTGTGCTAATATGATATATGTTGGCCTTTTGAAATTGAGGGGTTTTCTATACTTCTCTAATAGAACTTTATTGTATTTTTTTCTTTAAAACTTACAAACATCTGTAAATCTAAAACTTCTATAAAAAGTAAAGTCTAATTTTTTAAAAATTAGGAATCTAAAATGTGCATTAATAAGACTACAAGTTAGAAAATATATGAAACTAATTAATTCACTCAGGGTTTTTGTTAAATAAATATTGAGCACTTACCATGTGTTAGACACATGAAAAAGATGAATAAGAAATCATGTATAATTCAAGTTGGTTACAGTATAATAGAGGACATATACTTAAACAGATTGCTTCAAGGTCATATGTCAGTGATGAATCTAGAATTACATAAGAAGGTACACTGGATGCTCAGAGGAAGGCCACTTAACTCAACCTGGAATTCCAGGAATGAATTCCTGGAGATTATACCTAATCAATGGTATCATCTCAGTGACTTGAGTGGCTGATACCTAGGTAAAAGGCAATTAGAAAGGTGTTCTAGATAGAAACCATAAGAAACAAGGCATAGATCCATGATATGTGCAGGAATGAGAAGCAGTTACATAATTTTAACATAAAATATTGGACTGAATTGCTAGAGATGAGGCCAGTAGATAAATAGGGACCAGGTCATAGTGCGTCTCAGATCATAATTACAGATGATAGGAAGTTTCAAAAGGTTCTCGGTAGAGGATTGATATGGTCATATTTGTATGTACTTTATGTATAGCTTTTAGGCCTTTCAGGCTGCCATTTGTTTATGTAACAATTTTTGAGTACCTATCATTTGCCAGGGACTATCCTAAAGGAAACAGAAGATAGAAATCCTTCTCTTGGAGCTTATATTCTAGTGGGGCTACAGTAAAGAAGTAAACTTAAGTCCACACCTGGTAAAGAGCATTTAAGGATGAATTAACAAAGAAGTACAATAATTCAGACAAGAGATAAGACCCTGAACTAAGCCAATTGTAATATAGAGGGGGGATAATAGATTAAGGAAATTTTTGAAGACAAAATTAGTAGTCAGTTACCTGATTAAGTGAATGATTGCATATGAGGAGGTGAAGGAGAGAAAATTCTAAAATGACACCCGTATTTCTGACTTGTATCACTGGGTGGTTGGTAGTGCCATTAATGGATATTGGAAGTATAGGAGGAGTGGTTTGGGCACAGTGACTGATGCCTGTAATCCCAGTACTTTTGGAAGCCAAGGCAGGCAGATCAGTTGAGATCAGGGATTCAAGACCAGCCTGGGCAACATGGTGAAACCCCATCTCTACAAAAAATACAAAAGAGAGTCCCGCATGATGACTCATGCCTGTAGTCCCAGCTACTCCGGAGGCTGAGGCATGAGAATCGCTTGAACCCAGGAGGCAGAGGTTACAGTGAGCTGAGATCAGCTGCTGCCCTCAGCCTGGGTGAGAGAGTGAGACTCTGTTCCCTCCTCCCCACAAAAAAAAAAAAAAAAAGAGGAGTGGTGAGGAAAGAAGAGAGATGAGTCTTTGAATTAGGACATTTTGAATTTGTCATATCTGTGAAAATTTCCAAGTGCAAATATCTAGAACATTTAAATAAACACTTCTGAAGTTAGTGTTAGGACCAGGGACACAAATCTGAGGAATCATAAAGTTTAGGTAATACTTAAACTCATGAACATGGCTGAAATTGCCCAAGAAGTATGCTACAGATAAAAGAGCAGATTAGCATTTTAGAATGGAACAGAGGAAGAACCCAAGAAGAAGATAAAGGAAGAATCACAAAGAAAAACCCAAAACACTGAGAGGATCATATCACAGAAGTTAAGAGTGTAGAATAATTCAAAAATAGAAGGTTCAGTATTTCTCAATGATCAATTTCATGTCTTTACATTTTTGGCATAACTATCCCATGTATCTTTCTTTGATAGTGTTTGTATTACAAAATTATAGATCCGTTGACCATACATTGAGATCCTACAACAACACAGATTTGGTTTTCATGTATGAGTAGTTACAGGTTTTTGTCTCAAAAACATTGTGATGTTGGCAGATTTAAGAAATGTAGTCTTGTTTCTTGTTAAATCATAAAGTTCCTTCCTGTATATTACATAGCAAAGTGATAGTCTCTTTGTCATTGTCTTCATTACTATTCGGTGACATTATAGTGGTTAAATTTTTAATCATTCTAAAAACTTGCAGTTATTCACATCTACTCACCTAATAGGTTTGACCTGCTGACAGTAGAATTCAGATTATCTCTTATTTTAAAGCCCAAATTTAACTGTAGCATAGCCAACAAAGATAGTTTTACAATTACTGGACTTCAAATTTTCAATGGGTTTCTAAGTTCCATATTTGTGCATATATGTATATGTGTTTAAAATAAGGTTTTTATTATGCTTTATTTTCTTAAGAAAAAAATGGAATCATAAGCTCCAAAAGCATTTGAAACAAATCTTCAAATTTAAATATTTCAGCATGATCTGGTAGCTTAGATATTAAATTATCAAAAGTAATTATAGTTATGAACTAGTTTTCTAATGCTGGATCTTATAATGGCTTCTTTCTTCAGACATAAATATATGAGATGTATTGAGTAACTTGCCTAAAACAAAGATATTCTATGCGTGTTTTCAGCTAGTATGTTTGTGTTTAGTATTCCCTTGATTTTCATGGTCTCTATGTGAAGATCTATATGTAATTAAGTTAAAGAGTTATATGATGAATGATATATCATAATGATTTCTATTTTTTGAGATAGTATTTACTATTGTAAAAATAAATATCATTGTACCACCATGGATTTCAAGATCAGACAAGACCACTTACCTGCCTTCTGAGGAGTAGAAACTCAGCAAAATGGGGTCTTCCTAAAGAATAGTGAAATGATTCTGGATGATATCGCTAATTATATGTTAATAATAATTGGTAAAGGAGGAACCTTTATAAAGGTATGTCGACCAACACACATAGTGGCTAAGTTATATCTCTCTTCTATCACACTATTTGTATGTTCCATTGCCTGTTAATTGGAAACTCATCTTTTAAATCGCCATTTCTAAAGAATTAAGTATGACTTGATAGGCATCATAACCTAGTAGAGACCATGTAGAGGGAAAAAGGAGACTTTAATTCTATTGCTTACTCTGGGTTATATGTTAAATATGGACTCTTTAAAAACCTACTCAGCAGATCTGAGTCATAGTATGCTTGTCTGACTGGTGGAATTGACACATGCAATTCTAACAGAATTTCTATAAAGATAATATTTTTAAATGTATGAAAAGTGCATTGAAAACTTAAAAATCACGTGGTAGGTACATCAGTAGCCAATTCAGCCTCATGGGGGAATCAAGAGTTCTGTTTTAGACATGATTTTGATTTTGAGATGTCCATTAGACATCTAAGTTCAGTTATTACATGATTAATTGCATAGATTAATCCAGAGCCCAGTAAATCAACACTAAATGTCATTTAGGAGTAATCTTCAGGTAGCATTTGAAGCCATGGAACTGGATAATATTATTTATGGTAACTTGATTCAAGAAGAAAGCTAATAACTGAGGCTTAAAACAGTCTACCATTTAGAAGTCAGGAAGAAAAAGAAAATTCATCAGAGACTTAAGAGAAAGCAACCATTAAAGGGAAAATTTAAAGAATATATTTTAGAAACCAAATGAAGAAAATATTTTAAGAGGTGGGACATGATCAACTGTGTCAGGGGCTTTGGCAGGTCAAGTAAGATGAAGACTGATACTTTGCTAGTGGATTTGGCAAG